TGACAAAATGACAACATGCCAGGGAACGGGGTGACCTGAGCCCCCAGACCAATGACTGTCCCTTTCTTTCTGCCGGCACTACGCATTCCATCCCTCCTTAGAACAGCCTTGTGGGGGGGTCAGTAATATTCGTTCCATTTTCCGGATGTGGAAGCTGAGGTCCGGAGAGCTGAAGTAAGTGTCTTGCCCAAGCTTCCAGCAGTCTAGCTGGGACTCAATGAAGCCCGGGTCTGTCTTATTTCAAAGCCCACGCATTTTCTCTCCTCGGCTCTTTGCCACTCGGTGTGGTCCCTGCACCAGCAGCGTCACCTGAGAGCTTGTTAGAAATGCAGAATTCTCAGTCCCACACAATCTGAACCCCCATTTTACCAGGATCCTCAGGTCACTGATGTGTACTTTCAGGCTTGACAGACTACATACTTTAACATTCTGCCTCTCTGAATGTCACGACTAGGATCCCTTCCCAGAGATCCCAATGTTTGGTGGTGGGATTTTTGCTTCCATATTCATGAGATATTGGTCTCTAGTTTTCTTGTGCTATCTCTTGTCTGGTTTTGGTATCAGGGGAATGCCGGCCTCAGAAAATGAGCTAAAAAGTGGTCCTTTCTCTTCTATTTTTTTTTTGGGGGGGGGGAGGGCTGGGGGGAGTCATTTGTGAAAATTTGGCATTAATTTTCTTGAAAATTACACTCTTCACTTGTAGGTCTATTCAGATTGTCTCTTCTTCTTTTTTTATTTTCTAAGGGAGAGGAGAAAGGCGTGAAGGAGGTGGGTAGATTGTCTCTTCTTGAGTCAATGCTGGTAGTTGGTGTCTTTAGGAATTTGTCCGTTTCGTTTAAGTTGCATAACTATTTGGTATAGAACTGCCATTTTTCTTTTTTGTGTGTGTTGTTTTTTTAAGTCTTTTATTTCTCTATTCTTCCTTTACTACTTGCTTTTGCATTAAGTGAATATTTTCTAATGAAGCATTTAAATTTCTTTAATAAATTTTTCCACTATATATTTTTAAAGATTTTTAAAAATATATTTTATTGATTTTTTTTACAGAGAGGGAGAGGGATAGAGAGTTAGAAACATCGATCAGCTGCCTCCTGCACACCTCCTACTGGGGATGTGCCCACAACCAAGGTACATGCCCTTGACCGGAATCGAACCTGGGACCTTTCAGTCCACAGGCCGACGCTCTATCCACTGAGCCAAACCGGTTAGGGCTAAATATTTTTTTAGTGGTTACCCTAGGGCAGTGATGGCGAACCTATGGCACGCGTGTCAGAGGTGACACGCGAACTCATTTTTTTGGTTGATTTTTCTTTGTTAAATGGCATTTAAATATATCAAATAAATATCAAAAATATACATCTTTGTTTTACTATGGTTGCAAATACCAAAAAATTTCTATATGTGACACGGCACCAGAGTTAAGTTAGGGTTTTTCAAAATGCTGACAATGCTGAGCTCAAAAGGTTTGCCATCACTGCCCTAGGGTTTAACCATATAATCCTGATTTATCAGAATCAGCTTCAGATTTATATTAGCTTAATTCCAGTGATATATAGAAACATTACTCCTATATAGCTCCATTCCCTCCCCCCTTTTTTGTAGTATTGTTACATATATTATATCTGTTCAAGTTACAAGCCTGTCAATGCATTGTTATAATTATTACTTTATCATCTACAGTCATTTCCTTACCCCTTTACAGCTTTGCTCCTACCCACTCCTTTGCACCATTATTGGCAAGTATATTACACATAGATTACATTTCTGTTATAGTCCCAACAGCATATTATATGCATATTTTACATAATTGCTTTTTAAGTCAGTTAAGAGAAGAAAAATATGTTTTTATTCTTTTTTATAATTACATAATTACCTTTATTGGTGCTCTTTGTTTTTCTTTTATGTGGATTTAAGCTACTATCTATGGTCATTGCTTTTAGCCTGAAGAACTTCCTTTAGTATTTAGTAAGGTGAGTCTTTAAGCAACAAATTCTCTCAGTTTTTGAATATACTGGAAACTTTTTAGTTCACCTTCATCTTTGAAATGTCCTTCTCATGTATAGCCACCTGTGCTGGATATAGGATTCTCAGTTGACTAGTTTTTTCTCTGAGCACTTCACATATGTTCTGCTGAGAAGTCAGCTGTTAGTCTTATTGGGGTTTCCTTGTAAGGGCAAAGTCATTTTCCTCCTGTTGCTTTCCAAATGTGCTCACCTTTGATTTTCAGCATTTTTACTATGATGTGTCTGTTTGTGAATCTCTTTCTGCTTATCCTCCTTGGAGTTAACTGAGCTTCCTCAATGGACAGGTCATTGCTTATTATAATGGCTACTTTAAAACCTTCTCGTTAAATCTGACATCTGGTCACTCTGACAAGCAATTCCTCTTGCTAGCTTTTTCCCATTGTATGGGTCTTACTTCCCTGCTTCTTTGCATGCCTCATGATTTTTGTTGGAAACTAGACATTTTAACTAATATATCATACTCTTGGGACTGGTGCCCTCCTCTCCAGGGCATGTTACTGTTATTTGCTTACTTATTTGTTAAGAGACTGGCTGGATTGTTTTAGTGAAATCTATTTCCCTCACACAGTGTGGAGGCCTGTGGTGCTGCTCCTCATGGAGGCACATCGTTGGGTAGCCTAAAGGTTTTAGAATCACTCCCGTTCTCCTTCCCTTATCATACCCAGCTGTGAAAGTCCACTAATTGTGGGATATTGTTCCATTATCCTATATAATAAAAGGTGATATGCGAATTGACTGAAAGGGGGATGACCGGGTCGCTATGACACGCACTGACCACCAAGGGGCAGACACTCTACGCAGGAGCTGCGCCCTGGATGTCAAGTGCTCCCACAGGGGGAG